TTCTTTTCTTTTTCTTTTCGGGGAAAAAAAAGGGGGGGGGGGTTATAAAACAAAGAGATACGATTCATCTGGTGTTGGAAATTGAGAATTCACAGAACCATAATGTTTTATTGATGCGTTGTTGGGTCTGGTCTTCTTCTATTCCTATTACAAATTATTTGTTTCTTTTTTTAAACATGAAATTTTCTATGACAAACTGTTCACAAAGACAGACGCAAAACCCCCCTCAAATTTTTGTCTTAGCTCACACTCACAAGAATGCGTTTTCCACCTCAAAACTTTCAAGCAGCGTAAGTATTACTCATCGCCTGCCCTAAAAATAGAGCTAAAACGCGTCTTCACATTTCCTTATTACTCACCCTGGAAAACGCATTCGCGCTGTTAAAGCTACCGGTAACGCACGTGCCAAGCTCAAGCGCCTCGTCGATGGCTGTAGAGCACACCTTGCCCTACTTCCAAACCCATCCCTCCACCTGAGAGGCTCAAAGGCATTTTTCTCTCCTCCTTTTCGTTTGCGAGCGTACAACCCCCGTTTTACCGCTTTATGCGAAACGGCTCTATCTCTTTGAAGTAGAGGGGGAATCCCACAGTGACGTCACACCGTGGGAGAAGGCGATTAAAACGGCATTCTTCACCTTGCAACGCTCGCTCTGATTGGTCAGTTTGAGACATGAGAATCCCGCAGGAATGAATGGTTTACTTGCGAATTGACTAGCGATATGTGATAGTTTGGAAACTTAAAGGAGATTACAGAATATCAAATTCTTTTTGCCGAGGGATTACAAACATATGGCTTATTTCGCAACTTTGAATCATCTTCCTTCACAACGTTCATGGTAAAAAACTGAAACGAAACCGCTCTCGAAAAGTAGCCAATGAAAACTCTCGTTGCGGTATTCGTTATTTGCATTCAGATTACTCCTTTCCAAATAGGGACATATTATGTTGACTTTGGGGAAAAGGGAATCTCGACATTTCTCTGTATTTGGATTATTTCTAAGAATTTACCTCTTTGCCTGACTTTGATAACTTATTTACCCCACAGCAAAAGTGTACATGAAGGCTACGAGCGGACTTGCGGTTCCTGGCGCGAGTTTTTCTCACTTTGCCAACCATATTTTCCGCCCTCTCTCGTCTTCGAGCTGACCTAGTTTCTCCGGTGTGCCCGCTGCTGTGTGTGTGTGTGTTGCGCGCAGAGCTTTAGCGGGCTTGCTGTGCCCTCCCCTCACTTCGCGTTGCTGTCACAGTATTTTGTACCACAAAGTTCTGGCCTGCTTCATTGCAGCTTGTCGTTCGGGGTTGGCTAAATATTTCGGTGTTTTTCAGTGTTGAGGACGTGAAACCGAGAGCGTGATACATTCTCCAGGATAACCTCAAGGATTCTTTCTTCTTTGCTCGGGTCATGACTTGCGTCCAACAAACGAGGATCGAGTCGAGCGAGGAAAGTTTACTTCTATTCTCACTTCATCGCTGAAAATGTGATCTACCGCTAAGGTGTAAAGTTTTGGCTTGTAAACTTTTCATGAGTGTTTGATTGATTTCGAGTTGTGTCTTCGAGTTTTTTATTTCTGTCCTCGGAGTATCTCAAGGATTATACCATGGCTTACGTCGCTGACGGCACACGAGTCGATGGCTCGTGGGAACTCAATATTTTGGTTACCGACCTTCAGGTGGAAAGGACCCTACGTGTTATGGGCGACCTCCATATTGGAGGGGTGATGGTGAAACTGGTACAAGAGCTAGGTAAGTAAGCTTCTAGATATCTAGGCCTATTTCACCGAGTTAGTTTTCCTTGGATTCGTAAACCTGTATATCTCTAGAATCTAAAATCTAGTCTGTATGAAATCATGTTGCCTTCGTTCGTGCACCCTTTCGTCGTCTTCGATCTTAGACTTAGAGACTTCAAAATCAAAGCCAAGAACTCTGCTCAGACAATTTCGCTCTCATTGACTCACTGTAACTGACCTAACTTTCCTAATCTAGAATCTATATATAGATCAAGAAATCTAGATTGATATTATTTCTCTCTAGATCTAGATCTAGATCTAGATCTAGAGTACATGTATTTTGTGAAGGTAAACTACTAGATCTAGATCTAGATCTATATGTAGATCTAGATCTAGATCTGTGTCATGTTTAAATTGTTTAGCTTCGATTCTATATTGTTATGTTGTGGATGTGGTGGTTACAGTTCAAGGTAGATATAGATTAGATGGTAGATCTTCTAGATCTAGTCTAGATATCTAGATCTAATTCTAGATTCTAGTAGTCTTTATCATTACTATCAAGATTTTAGATCTCTAGTCTCTAGATCTAGATCTAGATCTAGATATGTCTAGATCCTGTATTTCTAGACTCCAGTTTTCCAGATCCGTAAACATGGTAAACGTGCGTATTCTCATTCATTTGGATAAGATCTAGATATAGAACACTGGGTATCAAATTCTAGATATAAGATCTAGATTCTAGATCAAGATCTAAATTCCTTTCTCGACCCCTTTTTCTTGGGCCAGGTAGGCCTAGGCCTAGATCTAGATCTACTCTTCAGTGTTATCTCGATTCCGATTCCCTCCTCGTCCTTCCTTTGTATTTCATGGCGATCGATTTATCGCTTGTTAAACTGGTAAGTGTAGGCTAGCCTAGATTAACTTATCTGATATTGCATTTATAAATATAGTTAAAATCTATAAATATAAAATTTACTGTTTTCGTTTGCTGTTGGCTTTGCTATTGACCCACATCCAGACTCCCCCTTTCCTCCTCCAACTTTTATACCAAAGTTAGCCTACGTTTTGACGCATCAAGGTTAGGCTACGTTTAAGAGGAAAAAAAAAAAGGAAAGAAACCGTCAGTTAAGTAGCGCAAACAGGCAGGTCCGTAAACTAACCCGACTAACGTGTGTTAGGTGTTAGGAATGGCCCTTTTCCGTATACAGTAGTGATAGTGGTAGAACTAGAACAATAGTGTTGCGAGTTCCTATATTTGGCTCGATTGATGCGATCGATTTCTCAAACGTGCTCACTCCTTCTCTCTCTCTCTCTCTCTCTCTCTCTCTCTCTCTCTCTCTCTCTCTCTCT